CCACAGCCTACGTCATCTGCTGCACTTCCGTAAAAAAGCAGTTCCTGAGGTTGTGTGACTCATTCACTCACATTTTATAGCCCTGTCTTTGTAGTTTTACCCAGAGATAGATTTTCAATGGGAAAGAAAGAAAGCGTGAGCAGAGCAATGGTAGATCTGTGCATCTGGGAAGCAAGAATGATGAAATTTAGTATTTAATTACAGCAAAAACTGTGATCACAAAAGCTGAGTTTCACAACATGATTAGTGTTTTCAAGACCATTATGTATATTAATGCTAATATGTAAGGCCTATGCATTGGATTTTACCAGTAAAATAAAATATGTGCTTATTAATTATATGGATAGATTCCCTTATCTTACCTATGGAGTTTAGACCAGAAAAAGAAAAATCAATGTTAAGTTATTTTTTGTTGTAAATAATAACATGATCTTATTATTTATATATGTGTGTATATTTTATGATTATTTTGGCAAAAAAGTGGTTTTTACTTTTGTGCCTTTTTGAGTTTCGTAACTACTACACATGTGAATGTACTGGTACATTGTTGGGGGAGTTAAGAACTCAATGTAATTTTCTATGCTAAGAGGTAACTTTTTTTTTTATGACTTTTTTTTAAGATTTATTTTTTTAATTATTTTTGTATTGGAAAGGCGGATATACAGAGAGGAGAGACAGAGAGGAAGATCTTCCGTCCGATGATTCACTCCCCAAGTGAGCACAACGGCCCGATACTATGCTGGTCCGAAGCCAGGAGCCTCTTCCGGGTCTCCCACGCGGGTGCAGGTTCCCAAAGCTTTGGGCCGTCCTCGACTGCTTTCCCAGGCCACAGGCAGGGAGCTGGAAGGGAAGCAGGGCTGCCAGGATTAGAACCAGCGCCCATATGGGATCCCGGGCGTGCAAGGCGAGGACCTTTAACCACTTGCGCCACCGTGCCGGGCCCAAGAGGTAACTTTTTAAATAGCATTGTACATGAAAATTCTCAAGAGCCTTCATAGGGACTGCCTCGTATTTTTATTATCCAGACTTGGAACATGTTATTTGGAAGAAATTTCACATAGGATGGGGTTGCAGTTGTTTTATCATTCAACTTTTTTTTTTTTTTAAGAGAAGGACAGTCTTTGCTCAAACTAGGCTCAGCCAAGAGATCATCTAGATGGAGTAAAGATCCAAGGCACAGACAGTCCAAGGTCTGGTTGCTTATTGTGATAGCAATCAGCCCAGCAGCACTGCAGCCTTGATACAAAGCCCTGCACAGGCTGTCTACTGACATTTCTTGGCACAGCTGTTTGCCACAGCAGTTAAGATACCATTTGCAAACCCCATGTCCAGATCAGTATACCTGGGTGTTCTTCCAGTGCCTGCTGTTAATGTGCACCCTGGGAAGTTAGTAGGTGGGAGAATTTGAATCCTTGTCACCCACATTGGAAACCCGATTAGTTCCAGGTTCTTGATTTTGGTCTCTTCCCAGCTCTAGCAATGGTAGTATTTGGGGAGTTAACAAGGGGATGGAAGATATCTCTCTCTTAAATAATATGTAAATAGTTTTTTTGTTATAAAAAGAATATTACTTTAAAAAAATTTTGTATTCATTCATTTTATTTGAAAAGCAAATTTATGGAGAGAGGACAGAGAGAATCTGCCATCCTCTGGATAACTCTATATGGCTGCAGTGGCCAGAGCTGAGCTGACCTGGAGCCAGGAGCCAGAAGCCAGGAGTTTCAGGTTTCCCACACAGTTGCAGGGACCCACGCACTTGGCTTGTTCTCTACTGCTTTTCCAGGCAATAAGCAAGGAGCTGGATTGGTAATGGAGCATCTGAGATATGAACTGGCACCCATATGGGACGCTGCCACTGCAGTTTAGCCTGTACACCATCATCCCAGCCCCGAAAATATTTTTTTTTTAAATAAGAGACTTCCTTTGGCAGCATCTTAGCCATGTTTCAGTTTGTTTACTTGCTATCCATATTCTTGATTATTCTGGAAGTATCTAATGTCCCTTTGATAATCGGTGCTTACAGAGTATTTTGCTTATAACCAAGTATCCTGATGAACAATGAACCTAGTATAACTGGCTTTTTAAAAAACTAATAGTTAATTAATTTTCAAAGACTGAGTTACAGAGAAAGAGAGACATACATAGAGCTAGATTCAAAGTGGAGTGGCTGGACATGAACTGTCACGCGCATGGGATGTCTGTGTCACAGTTGGTGATTTGACCCCTATGATACAATGCCTTCCTCTGGGTGTTTTTAATATGACGGTCACTGTCATCATGAATCAGAGTTAGCTGTTTTCATACCCTACCTATCTTGTTAACTGAATATTTTCCTTGAGATATTTAATTCAGGTTCTTAGAGGCTTCTGAGATATTACTTATTAGGGATTTGAGATCCCCTTGTTGTGTTGTGAAATCCTTTGGATAGGAAGACTGGTTAGTTTTGTTTGGTTGTAGTGGAATCACTGGAACTTAAAAAAACGTATTCTGTTTTGCCAGCACATTCCCTTAAAATAATTATAAGCTTTTGTTTGCTGAATATTTAGGATGACAATTCTGTGGGTTTTCCCAGGGCTGCTTCCGCTGATTATTTAGAGCATGCCGGACATTGTTCTGGGTTGAATTGTGCCCTCCAAGAAAGATAAAGAAAGTCTTGTGTTACGACTTTGTCCTAACCCTCAGCAATTGTGAATGTGATTTACTTGGGAATATATATCTTATAGCTGATTAAGATGAAGTCTGTAGAGTGGGCCCTAATGCAGTAATTGCAGAGACGGACATGTGCAATGAGGAAAGGCATGTAAAGACGTGGAGGGGAAATTACAAACACGATGCCCAAGGCTGCTAGAAGCTGGGAGTGAAGTGTGCAACAAATTCCTCTTCCTTTACAAACTGACCCTGTCAGTTTGACCTCAGACTTCTAGCTTCCAGCACTATGGAAATAAATGTGTCTTTAAATCCATGTATCTTGCAGTACTTTGCCAAGGCATCACCAGGAAACTAATATTCATTCATGAGACTTTATTTACCCCCAAGGGAGTTACATTCTCTTCCTTCTTTCCTTTTTTTCTTTTTTCTTTCGTTTGTTCATTCTTTCTTTCCTTTCTTTCACAATGTGATTCATTTTAATTGTACTATACAACATCAACATTCAGTTTGTATGTTTAGAAGGCAACTTTTCTGTTAAGAGGGCAAACATAGTTCAAGAAGCAGAGCTAAGTGTAGCTGACTTCCCTGTGGCAGCACTGAATGGAAGCAAAATGCTTCCTTTGGCAAATTTAACTCTGTATCCCGTTTGCCTGTCTGCGATCAAATCCCCACTCTGTCCAAGCTGTCGGGTTAGCAGCCTAAACTCAGGCTCTTTACCCTGTCCTTTGTTTTATACTGTTTTAGACTGCTCTGGGCAGCTGCCAGTATGATGAGAATGTCGGTGACCTTGCAAAATACCTGTGCTCAATCCTAAGCACTATAGTGATGGGGTTAGGTGATGGGGATTGCTATTTTTTTTAAAAAGATTTATTTCATTTTTATTGGAAGTCAGATACACAGAGGAGGGGAGACAGAGAGAGTGATCTGTCCATTGATTCATTCCCCAAGTGGCCACAATGGCCAGAGCTGTACCGACCTGAAGCCAGGAGCCAGGAACCTCTTCCAGGTTTCCCACGTGGGTGCAGGGTCCCAAGGCTTTGGGCTGTCCTCGACTGCTTTCCCATGCCACAGCAGGGAGCTTGATGGGAAGCAGGGCCGCCAGGATTATAACCTGTGCCGTTATGGAATCCTGGCCCTTGCAAGGCAAAGACTTCAGCCATTAGGCTATACTGCACTGGACTGGGATTACTGTCTTTATAAGATTGCCTTGCCTCTTTCATGAATGGGTGTGAAGTAACTACCAAATATGAGTCAAGAAATATGTGTAAAGTAACTACCAAATATGAGTCAAGATCCTTACTGGACATCAGATCAGCCAGCGCTTTGCTCTTCGACTTTCTAGCCTGCAGAACTGTGGGGAATACATTTCTGCTCATAAGCCAACCATTCTGTGTGTTTGTGTGTTTTTGAAACCACCACCCAAATGGATTAAAGAGAGGTATCAGATGGTTTTAATGTGTCTGATTGATCATGGCATAATCAAAGCAGCCTATTTCAGATATTATCAGTACAGTTAAGGAAGAGTGTTAGGCACAGGACAGGTGAGTTAAAATTATCAGTGCTATCTTGAACTTTCTATTGATCTCAAAACTTTCAGGTGTTGGGGCCAGTGCTGTGGTGTAGTGGATTCCATATAGGTGCTGGTTCTAGTCCCGACTTTTCCACTTCTGAGCCAGCTCTCTGGTGATATGCCTGGAAAAACAACAGATGATGGCCCATGCATGGGCTCCTGCAACCTTGTAGGAGACACAGAAGAAGCTTCGGATCAGCCATTGTGGTTATGTGGGGAATGAACTAGCAGATACAAAATCTCTCTCTGGGTGTCTGCCTCTTTCTCTATAAATTTTTCAGTCAAAATAAAATCCTTAAAAAATGTTTTATTTAAAAAACTACCTTTTGGGTGTCAAAGAACTTATGATTAGGAGAAAGGACATCAGTGGCTGGCTCATTGAATAGTAGGATAAGCCTCTGCCTGCAGTGCCAGCATCCCAAATGGGTGTTGGTTTATGTTCCAGCTGTTCCACTTCTGACCTCGCTCCCTATGAATGGCCTGGGAATGTGACAAAGGACAGCTCAAGGCCTTGTGCCCCTTCACTCATGTGGGAAACCAAGAAGAAGCTCCTGGCTTTGAATTGGACCAGCTCCAGTTATTGCAGTGATTTGGGGAACGAACCAGTGGCTGGAAGACTCTGTCTCTTGTTCTCATTCTGTTTCTGTGATTCTACCTTTCAAATAAAAATGAAATGAATGTTTTTTAAAAAAAGAAGGATACCTGTGGAAAACTGTCAATTATACTCAGTTATATTGTCTGGGTGTGTGTTTGTGAGAAGAAAGAATGCTAACGACCAAGGAAAATATCACCATTTTTATTGTTTTGAATCCTCAAGAGTATTTCAAAGTCATTTCTCATACTGTTACACAATATATATGCACATGTAGAAAACTTACAAAAATTTTCTTTAAAATATTGTACTCTAATGGGATTTATCTTATTTTACTGGCCAAGGATAAAGCGTGTACCCTAAGTATAACTTTCTAATTTTCCTCATACAATCTTAGAAACTTTTGTTTATACCAAATCTGTTTCTGCATAGAACAGTGGGCATTATTTTACTGCAGTAACCTTTTAAAAGATGAAGTTTAAAAGTATTATTTTATACTGAGTGTCTGTCAACTCTAAGATAAACATATTCATTCTGCAAACTACCAGTTGCTGTTGGCTCACTATTTTTAAAGTGGAGACTCCTATTACTTGTGTTTCTTACACAGTGCTGGGCAGATGTTCACATGGTTCTTCTGTACCTTCAGCAAGTATTACTTTGTTCTTTGGGCATAACTCATTTAATCAATCTGGATATTTTCTAGGTACTTAGGAGCTTCTCTCCCTGGCAAGATTGTCAGAGCTGGGCTTGAGGGGAACTTACTTGTTTGTTTGGATTTGAAGCCTTCTGGCTTCAAATATCATGTGAGTATCACTTCTTAAAGCCCATAATAGGGTATGTGCCTGGTGTGAATAGAATAAGCTCAGTGCCTCTGTCCTCTGTGAGGGACAGATGCAGGTGTAGAATTACAGCTTATTTTAGAAGGCCCTTGTATTACCTTCATGTTAGGAAAAGGAGAGATGGGAGAGCTGATGGTATCTCATAAGATTAATAACAGCTAATACCATGCATCAGATACCTCCTTAGTCAGTACCTGTTTACCACAGCTCACTACCCTTCAGTTCTTTCTCTTCTATAATGTACATTCTGTTGTGCTGTTCTTCCTTTTTTGCTTGCCTTGCCTTTTGACTGTCTTGTACAGCCTCTGACTTTTGCTATTATCTATTGGACAGTTTGTTCCCTGACCCATTAAAAGTGCATGGGTGATGCAGTGGAGAATGCTACCCTGTGAATATGTTAATTCCACCTGTAGGGTCTTGATCAAGCGAACCCTTCCTGAGCTTCAGTTTCCTCTTCTGTTCAGTACCACCAAAATCATAGATATTAAATGAGACAATGTGCTTAAGTTTTCCTTACAAATGATATTATCTGTAAGCACAAGTTACTTGATGGATTAGAAATGGATATAAAGGAGAGAATTTATGTGTATGGCATAAAGTTAATAAAATTTTATTAAGATTTGGATATGTACACTGCATGGTTGGCTTTCTCCTCGAAGAGCCCCACTTTTAATGTTTTGCTTCTTGTTTTGAGTGGCTGACCTGAGTGATGTCAGTCCTCCTTTTACAGTGCTCACAGCAACAGCTTCTAGGAGCCTGCACAGATTGTTTTGTGCCATTGCAACAAGTTCATGAAAGGCAGTTTTGATTTTCACTTTTTTTTTAAAAAAAAATGCAGTTTCACAAACTACTGCCAAGGAGAATATTTTGGCTATTAGTATAAAACGAGGATCACTACCAAGAGTGAAAGAAGTATCAAAGAAAAGCTTCCGTGGCAGTGATCTCCTGCAGAAAACTTGATCCGACCTTCAACTGCTGGATAAATTACTTTCATTTTTAAGATATATTGAGAAACCACGTTGATATCTTGGTCACCTAGAAAATACAAGCATTACTTTAATTGCTGAAAAGTAATTACCAGTAAAAAAAAATCAGTGTATTTTTCTGAAGACCATAAAGAGAAGGTGTTCTTTTCATAAACAGGGGTAAGATATCCTGGAACACAAGAACAACACAGAATCCTAAGAGCAAAGAATTCCGTTGCTCCTTCATGTTCCAGATTTGATGTATGCCCGTTATTCAGAGTTGGATGACAGAAGTAAACTTGTCTTGGCTCTGAGATGATTTAATAAAGAAGTTCTTGACATTGTAGCCTTTGTATCACTCCAGAACAAGAGAATTAGGGATCATGGTCAAGAGTTGAGAGATAAAGGTGATCTCTTTTTGCTTGCCTGTTAAGAATTATCTTTTCAAAATCCATGTTGGAACAAATTAATTGTGCCTTGTTTGCATAAAAGATGAGAGCTGATGAAGAAATGGCTATAAAACCTATCATTGCCTTCTTTTTTTTTGTTTTTGAAAGACTTTTCCCTGTGCCATGGTTGTATTAGGATTAAAGGAAGACACTTTAGCCCCAATGCCATTAAATCAGAACCTCTGGACTGGGGCCACAATAATGGTATTGAATTTGAAATGTTCTGTAAGTGGCTTTATATAGCGTAGCCAGTGTTGAGAACCCTTAGTTCCAAGACTCCTTCAGCTTTCTGCATGAGCACCTTTTCTGCAATACCTATCGGTCTGGCCGTGGGTGATGTCCAGTCAGCAATGCTGGTGTTACAAGAGGCTTTTAAAAGCCTGCCTTTCTGTCTTCCTCAGTGGAATGAATGGAAGTGCCCAGCATTTTTTTCTGTGTGGAAAGACTGCCTGTTTTGACTTGGCTTTGCTCTCTCTCCCTTCTTGGAATAAGCAGCTAAAATGCCGTGCCATGTTAAGGCTGAGAAAGAACCTGATAGAGTTTCTCAAAGATGCAAAGAGGCGCACACACGTGTGATAAATGTGGAAAGAGCAAGGGGAAAGTCTATTTTCTGTCAGTGTGCCTTATGTGTGAGAGGCTGTTAACTGCATTTCTGAAGGGGAGGTGAGCATATCATGACCCTCCTGGCTGCTAGATTTACTAGTAGGTGTAAAGTATGGCTGCACCCATAATTTCTCCCATCAAACCATTGTGCTTAAAGTGGGGTTTTTATCCCATCTGATCCTACCTATACTGGTCACACTAAAATCTCTCTTAAGAAGGAAGAAGTAGATAATTTAATTAGGTTTTCCATGTCCAGACTAAAGTTCCAGAGATGTATTTTCCCCCCTATGAACACAAAATTTACTTACATCTCACAATTTAAATGTGAGCAGCTCAGCTGTAGCTAAAAGAATTTTAAAACATTGTCTTATTGAAAAGTGTTTTCCCTTGGGGTTGGATTGATGTGTATGTGTGCCAGGAAAGTAACAGGAAACGTATTCCTTAGCATTATGCTGCTGCATTCCAACAAGCAAAGCAAGAGGGAGTAAACCATATGAGATGGGATGTGCTTCCTGGCTCTGCCCTCCTGGCAATGGGAGCTGCATTCCTTCTCAGGCCAGTTCTGTTGTTCTTGATTCCCTTTGGGATTAGCAGCAGAAGAGGCACTTGTACTTACCAGTGTCGTGTTTTAATAATTCATCTTTTATCATCTGGAATCTGTCTCCGCCAGTGGCCAGGTAGTTTGGGAGGATCACCTTATATACCTCATCCATTTTGAGGGGCTCATAGCTGGGTACTCGACACTTGGTACAGAGAACATCTAGTTTGACCACTCTATCTCCAGGTCTTCTGGAAAGGTCATATTCCACATGGATTCCTAGAAAACAATTTAGTGTACATTTTTATTGGATCCAAAGAGAGGCCTCTGCTTTTTAAGAGATTTTTGCCTAATATCTGGAATTGGGGATATTAGGTATGATTTTTTTTTCTCTAATTTGAGCTTGAGAGAAATTTTGTCAAAAGAAATGAAGTAGTGTTGCAGCTACTCCTTTTTGATTGCTTTATTCTTGATTCCCCCAGTAGACAGGAGAAAGTTGAATGGAAAACTGTCTCATTCACTCCAGGATGCGTAAGGAGTGACTAAGGAAACGTAATCACTGAACTAGGAACTTGGTTAAATACATTTGGAAAATGAGAAACAGAGGAGAGCATTTATTACAATCTTGAGGACCAAAATGGGAACAAATTTGATATCGACAACATTCTTTTTGCAAGTCAGATACTTAAAAATAAATGCCCAAAGTCCCTATTTACAGTACTATAAGAAGGGTTTGTGCAAACAGAAATAGAAAAGTCAGTCCTGCTGCAGGAAGTCCACATTTCAGGGCGTTGGAGTGAAATTCACAAATACCATGACCGGTGGCAGCAAGATGACATTCAGATAACACTGGTCTCTGTTCATCTTTGACAGGTGAATAGGCAGGAAGATTTGGGGGTGGGGATAGTATGCCAAGCCATGATTCTTGGGGAGGGGCCCAGTGTAGCAGGAGGGCTCATTTCACAAGCCAACAGGCATCTAACTCATCATTCAGGACATTTGGAGATGATCTGAATGATCCTTCCCAGTCAAAGTTGGTGAGAGTCTCAGAGATAGAAATTCTCTTTAAATGAAGAAAACAAGCCAACCTGAACAGGGAGTAGAGAGACTAGTAAAACAAATCTAGCCTTCTTTCATCAGATGGCAAGTGAAGTCCCATGTGGGTACAGCTGATTCACAGTCCTCAGCACTGGTATGGTCTATTGCAGGTCTCCGCTTTTGATATCAGTGCATTAACACTTCACTATAACACCAGTAAGGTCAGCAATGTAGCCTTGGAAGCCAGAGGGGCAAAGTGAAATCTCTATAGATACAAGATGGAAGAACTAAGAATACTTATAGTTCAGTTTGTTGTTGAGCGTGAACTTGCACTGTTGGTGGCAGGGGTCCTGTAATGATAGATGCTGGGGCAAGTGTTGTAGGAAATTTGTGAACATTGAGTGTGCATGTTCTTGGCACCTGGATGGCTGGCAGAGGCCAGCATGAGAGGCGGAGGGTTCGGTTTTAAGTGGATATGCAACAGCCCATGGAGACCTTGAGTCTGGCTTGAGTACTTCTGCAGAGATGCCCCATGGACCAAGCTTTCATGGTAGAAGCTTCTCTATGGAAGTGTCTAGGCTTGGAGGCTGGCAGATAGACGAGCAGGCTGTCACAGCACTAGTAAAGGGCTGAGCTTCAAGACAGGCTAGTTTGGCATTAGGAAGAGGGCCAACGCTTAGGTTAGAAGTGCCTGCTTGTGCTAGAAGGAGTGGGTATTGTTTCTCACAGCTCCCTGCCTGTGGCCTTGAACGCGCCGGGACCTCATATGGGCACTGGTTCTAATCAAAACATAACAAAACAAAAATGAAGCATCTTGAGGGCCAACTCCTGTGGGGGTGGGGCATGAGGTATCCAAATCATAGATAGCAATTATTGCACACTGCCAGGGCTTTGGGTCTCTGATCCCCAGCCTGATGTCACCAACCCTGTGAGTCCACAACCATTGAAAGATGATGTATTGGTGTTGTATGAGGTGAAACCAAACAAGCTTGGCAAGGGGAATCCTGATATTTGGGGAGCTGATCAAGCAAAAGGAGGTTGCACATGTCTCTGGCTGCAGCAAAGGGGACTTACCGCCCACCTGCAGAAACTCTCCAGTGGACTGGCCGTAGCGGTATACACTGTGCTCGAAGGCCTTCTTCAGAGTGGAACCTTTCAACTGGACCAGGTCAAATGTGCCTCCAAAGGGCAGCACAGCAGTCAGATCTTCCCATGTAATTGTACCTGAGGACAGTCACATGTGAGACAAGGAGGAAAATTATTTGAGAAAAAAAAAAAAAGCTCTCTGTACCAATTTCCCTCCAAGCTGGAGGAGAAGATAAGAGGGATACAGATTGTGTCTAAGTACTTTCTGACACCGCACGAGGGAATGACTTCGGGAGACGTCTGGCCCTGGTTTCTACTATTGGGCAAGTGGCAGAAGCTCGCCTTGTATCTCCGAGCTTGGGAGTGGATCTCCAGTAGGTTGTTAAGCATTGTCCTTCACACAAGCAGTGGGTCCCTGTACCTGGATGTGTGGACTTGTTAATGAGATGAACTTAAGGGCTTTAAAAATTTTTTTCTTTTGACAGTATATCAGGTGCTACAAGAATGTCTTGAATATCTGTCAGGTTGATTATTTTACTATATGATTTGATTCTAGAAATCTGTAATTTAAAAAAAAATTCAGTGGTAGATATTTTCTAGGACAGAGTCTGGGTAATTTTGTCCCTCTTTTAACAGATGCCAAGTGGGAGTGGTAGACGCTTGCATAAACCAGCAACAGTTAGTATTCAGTTAACCCTAGTTGCTGTTTCTGTGTGAGCATGTATGAGAACACACAATCTTGTGTAGGCTCTTCAGGCTAGGCACTATTGTGGAGTAACAGACAACCCAAACCTGTAGGGCCAATGTTCTGGTGTGTGGCATGCAGCTGAGATGAGCTGAGACAGCCCCTGGGCATGATCAGGACAGAAGCTCTGGAGGAGAGAGGGTCCCAGGCCAGGGGAGCATACCATTGTTCTTTTCATCAATGGACGATCGGATTCCTCCTCCATTTAAAATGCACATGGACACGTGGTTCCAGAACATCTCATCTGGGTGTCTCAGGTTGTTGTTAATCTGCAACAGTAGCACAAATGTACATAACCTACTCTAGATCTTCATTCTTGGATTAGTGTCAGGAATTTAGTTAACTCCACTGAGGAAAAATAAAACAAACAACCCTATTTGCCTCTTTTTCTTAGTTCCCAGAATTTTTTCAATTGCAATTTGTCAGAGCCGGTTGGGTTCCAAGAGTAAGATATGCTATTGGGACCTGTCCCATGTCAGACTTGTAGAAACAGGGAGCTCCTAGCCTCCTAGCCACCTGTCCTAAACCTATATTCTCAGGCATTTGGGCTTTTATCAAAATGGTCTCTCAGGTGTGGCCCTGTTAGGACTGGGCTCCCACATAGACTGGCCTACCATGCTGCTTCTCGTGGGCTGCTCCAGGCCTGCCCATGCCCATTCTGCTACAGAAGGCAGGGCTGTCTAGACCTCACAGCAATGAGAACCTGGCTTCTGTGTCAGTGCTCCAGACAATGCCCAAGCTGGCAGTTTGGGAGTCACAGGAACATCGCAAAATTAGGACAATCAGATTAATTCTTCTAAGAATATTTGGTACGGCAGGCACAGGAGCAAAGCAAGCTAATCCTCTACCTGCAGCACTGGCAGTCTGCAGTATGGGCTGCTCTACTTCTGATCCAACTCCCTGATAATGACCTTGGAAAGCAATGAAGGATGGCCCTGGTCCTTGAGTCTCTGCACCCATGTGGCAGACCTGGAAGAATCTCTTGGTTTGCAGCTTCAGACAGTACAGTTCCACGTTGCGGTGATTTGAAAAGTGAACCAGTGGGTGTAAGATCTCTCGCTCTGTAACTCTTTCAAGTAAAATAAGTAAATTTTTAGAAAAATATGTTTGGCTGTAACCAATAAAATGAAGACATTCTCATTTGAAAAGAAAATGGCAAAGAAGGCAGTTTTTAAAATTACTATTTGCTAAGAACTAGGCACTGAATGTTGAGAACTGATAAGAGAGCCACTCCCCTGGGTACAAGCTGTGAACCTGTGAGAATCTGACCTTGGCTCAACACGGTCTCCAGGGAGCTACCAGAATCAGGTTTTTTATACAAATGGGCAGGGGGTACTTTCCATGATGACAGTGTTCAGCTGCAGGGCTCACTATCATCATTGTACCTCAGTGAGTCATTGTATGCTTGTGAAAAACTTTTCCATCGCACAATACGTAGGGTCTCTGAAGCCAGGCAGATATATTTTATCTGCTCTGTGGACATCTTCAGGGTAGTTGGATTTGTGCATTTGGATCATCTTGCAAAAGAAACACAGCATCTAAAATTTTGACTTCCAGAAAGAATACTTCAAAATCAATGCTTAGGTTCTCATATAGCAATAAAGTGATGGTTATCTGATCTGCTCTGGGCACCTTGTCGAGTTGCCCAGCACAAAACACACCAAACTTCTGTCTGAGCACTAAATATTTTCAAATATCGAATTCTGCGAGCATCAGAGGTCCCTCATTGCACCTTACTGGCTATGTTCTTCTTCCTTTTCTCCCTCGCTAAATACAGACCTGCCCATTGCTCCTGCAGATCACTTACCATAGCATCACAGATCAAGTTGCCCATGTTGCATTCTGCAAAGCGGCACGCCTTATCGGAGCCATTCAGATAGACAATTGTTTTCCCCAATTCCTGGGTAGAGTAGTTATCTAATTTTATCCTCCAGCTGTTAATCTGTGCTTTTATACTTGGATCTAAAAGAAAAGGATCAAAAGCAGGAAGAATGGAAGGAAAGTTGGATGGATGGAAGGAGGGAAGGAAAAAATGAAGGAAGGAAGGACGGAAGAAAGAAAGGAAACAGGGAAGGAAGGGAGAAAGGAAAGAAGAAAGGAAGGAAAGTTAAAGGAGATCTCATGTTGGGCTCAATTCTGGAGAAGGAATCAAACACCACTTTACTTACCTACTGTGAGGACCCACTTTTAAAAATCATACTTGTGTACATTTGTTGACTATGAAATTTCCTTAGGAACCTCTATTTTACAGTAATGAGACCTGGGATGGATGTTCATGTAAAGGCATGGTGAAGATCTTAACATCAGATCACCACATCTGAATGAACACCTGGCAGCGCACCTGGGATAGCACAACTGGTGGTGGCAGAGACTTTGAAAAGCCCAGAACAAGTATAAGGGGATCTTGGGGTGTCTTTGTGCTCCTGGACATGCTTCCCCTCTGTCTACTGAAAGATATATGCTGTGATCACAGCCTGCTCTGGGTGCTGAAGAATCACCTTTCTGCAAGACCAAGTATGGCCTCTGAGGCGCATGCCTGCATGACAGCGGCAGTGCGGCTAAGCACAGGGCGTGAAGCCCAGGCTCTCAGGACTTGGCACACTTAAGGTCTTAAATTCTTCTGATCTCATCACAGTAAACAGAAAGAGCAGGGCTACTCTGAGTTTCCAACAAAAAAGTAAAAAAGATGCGCCCTTCATTTGACAAATAAGTTTAAGCCATTGAGACTGAGCATCTTGCCTGTGGCATAACCACATGGGCTTGGAGTCCCACTCTGCCACTTTGCTTCCTTTGTTAGTTAGCTATCTTCTGGACATGAGCTGAGTTGGCTTCTGCAAACAATGCTGCAAGAGTCCGATGCCTAGAGGACTTAAGGAAGCAAGTAGGGATTTGGACAATGGTGATGGTTTTCAATGTCTTTATTCATGAGAAGGCAAATGCAAAGGATAAGCTAAATTTACTAAACGTACTAGTCTTTTCCCTGAACATTATAAAATTATGTCTAGTTTGTTTTTAAACATATTTTATTTTTTATGTCTATTTTATTTTTAAGCAGATTTTATTTTGTTTTATGATATAGTTCCATAGGCTCTGGAGTTGCCCATGCCCTTCCCCAAGGTCCCTCCCCTCCCCGCATTGCTTTCCCCTCTAGTTTTACAATGGATGTCCTTCATGAACAGTCATAATAAGTTCATGATGTTGTTATTGAAGTGTTTCTGACAATGTAGGCATGGACATCATCTTACTGTTAGGATAGTTTCAATTCTTTCACTGGGAATTCATCTTTAGTCTCTATGCATTACCCTGAAACACTTTTTAAAAAGGGGTAGGCAGGGAAAAACTCCAACCACCCTGACTTTTGAATTGGTAGAATATTCCTGTGCATTTCACATACCTTCAGGAATGCTGCTGTTGAGAAGAATAGGATTTCCATGTGATGTGATGACATTTCCTTTTTCATCAAAGTCAACCTTCAAGTAGCCTAAGTATTTGCCAAAAGTATAGGCCTGGACCACAGGAACCTTCCGGCCATCGTCAGAGGTGACTATGAATGGGTATTTCCCAACAGGCACCTCTTTGGAAGGTGGATTGCCTGAAACATAAGAATAGAATCTGATAAAAATTTGGGCCTTGTGTGTGATTGGCTGCAGGCCAGCAGGCCACTGGCTGGATGACAGTGTGTTTCAAGTTGATGATCCGCCAGCTGCTGTTCCACATAGCTGGTCTTTGAGAGTCCTGCCTGGGCATTTCCCCTGTTTCCTTTCGCTGCATGAATCCTTCCATTATCATCTCCTGGCATTTCCTGAGCTCTTTCGAAGCTGAGCATTGTGCCTGGTGCTGCAGAGCACACAGAGAGGGGAAGACTGGGCAGATTTTCCTCCTTCCATCCTAACTCAAGCTCCCCTTCCCACTGGCTGTGTGGATGAGCCAAGTGACTTTACTTCACTGGACATGTTTCTTTGTAAAATGGGCAAAACAACCATTCCTGTTTCTTCAGGCTACTCAATGTCTAAATTCCTTAGCATGGCGCCTGGCAGAGTTGGTACTTCTGTCTTGCTTATTTTTCCTCCTTATAAAGTGACAGTAATCTCTGGCACACACTCCAGAGCTTAAAATTCTTCCTGGGAAATGAGCAAAAGTGACAAAACAACTTTCCTGAACTATGCAGCTCTGAGTCTCCATAGGTGCTTTTTGTACCATGTGCACCACGGGGGCCAGCCAGCACGTTGTACCTCTCCCAGCCGGTCCTCACGCCAGTCAGGTTCTGCAGGATTCTGTCTGTGATTGGACATGGGGACAAGCTTGGGAGCCACTCATGACCCAGAAGTGCAGCCCACTAGACATATGGCTGTGTGAGCATGCGGAGTAGCAGGCAGGCAGCACGAAGCCCAAGCTCTCGTCATGTTAGTGGCACCCTTCCTTTGGGTGTTCGAATTCGCAGAGACTGTGACACAGTTTGGACTGTTTCAAATCAGAGACTGAAATCAACAGCCCAGAGGGAACTTCAGCACTAGTTCTTTACACATGTGGACCAGTTTTGAGACTTAGTCTTTAACCAAATTCTGGACAACCTCTCAGTTCTCCAGCTTCCCATGAGGCAGACCTTATAAAAATTCTTGAAAAAGTTCATGGGAAATGGAATTAAAAGATCAGCTTAGTTTGGTGCAAAAAAATATGAACTCATGTAGGAGGACTCTTTAAAACATTCGTGGAAAATGTGTGTTATGAAATATATGCAGGGACTTCTGTTTTTTTGCACCAAAATAATTATACTTTAATTTCTATTCCACAAATGTTTTGAAGTACTTTTGCATTATTATCATATTGTAAAAAGATACCTGTGAGGCAGAGAGATGGAAACAAGGACAGAGCGCCTTTTCACTGATTCAATCCCATGTCTGCATTGGTAAGGTTGTGCTGATGGCTAAAGCTAGGAGCCAGGAATCCAGGACTTCCATGCAGGTGGAAGAAGTTGCTGCAGTCACCACCTGCTGTGTCTTGCAGTCTGCATTAGTAAGCTCACAGCAGTATCACTGCACTTAAAGCCAGGCACTCCAATGTGCAATGCAAGCACCGTAACTTGACCACCAGGCTGAATGTCTGTTCCCATTAGCTTTGTTTAACAGACAACACTGATTGCCATAGGCAATGTGCCCAGGCTCACAGGCTGGTGTGTGCTGCAACTTGATGGAAAAGCCATGCTATGAGGTTCTGTCCACTAACCCACACACCCTACGGTGTGCCATTCTTATGAAGTCTAGAGGCTGGTTACCACAGATCAGTTACAATAATAAATGCGCAATAAAGTTGGCATTTTAGTGTCCTCAGCTCTTCTGGGCTTTTCTGTTCTCCTAAGAGAAGTTGAGGTGTTGCATGATGAAGACACCACTCCCCCGATGCTTTTATGCCCAGAACAGTGCACCTTACTAGGCCAGAGGCACTGTGAATGCCAGCACTTCTTAAGTGGGAAAATGGGCATTGCCAGGTGTAATGTCCCATTCTCTTGCTCTTTGCTGGGGGAGAAGAGTGAGGAGGCGGAGAATATATTGAAAATTCACTTTTACAGAGCAAAGAACATGAGATCCAGTGATTTTTGCTCCATCCCTATTTGCAGTAAACAGCCTCAAGGGTGACAGGCTGATGTTTGTGATGGAAGCCGTTGTTTGGATATGTGGTAGAAGAGCAGGACAGCGAAAGCTCTAATTGTTCTATTCTGTTCTGTCTCATACTGGTGCTTCGTTTGTCGATTGCATAAGGCTGCAGCCAGGATTTTCCCTCAGGGCTCCAGGTGGGAGAACAGCTGCTTACTAGATTAAGCTGGTTTCTCTTCTGCCTGGAGATGTTTGGGAAAGCGCAGTTTCCCAAACTTCCACAAGGTGGCGGAGAACACACCATCCTGGAGCAAAAAGCATTAGTTGCAGAAATCACTTTGGGCCATTTCCAGGAAACAATAACAAAAATAACAAACCTGAATTTTTCCTAGCTTTCCACAGAGATATTTGAGTTTAAGTAGAATGTGAAAGTTGGGACTCCAACAGTGCAGCTGGATGTCTCAGCAGAATTGCATGCACTAAGTGAGCAGTAGTTAGCGATCCCAGCTCTGTGGCATGGAACACTCCCTTGTTTGGAAAGACCTAGCTGTTCCTTTCATTAGAACACAAGATGTGTGATTAGCATCTTAAGTGGACTTGATCAGGAACAGGGAGCACATGTCCCATGTGACTTGGCCAGTAGCTGCTTGCTCTATTTGACTCATGGCAGCCTTCTCCACAGCATTCTCTCTCTACTCACCTCCTCAACTTGGCAACCCCCAAAAAACAAAGGCAGAGAAAACAATCCAGGGATTCATATTTTACATGCCAGTCCATGCTATTACCCAAAAATGCCTATTCCCCAAATACCATTTCTACATAAAGTCACGCATTTGTTTTTGGAAACCCGATTTGTTCTCTGGGAAGAAGAGAAGCTGTTTATCAGACTGTTCCAGGCAGTATTAATCCAGAAATGCAAACTAGAGGATCCATGGAGTTACGTGTTCACATCTGAAGTTGGTTAATGGGCATTTCCTAGCAGAGTGCTGGAGCCTGAAGGAACTCCACAGGGTCCTGCCCCGAGCTAAGGAAAGCAGAGATCCAAAGTGTAGCTCTGAACTGCTGTCCTCCCTGTGTCACAAGCCCATAGACAGAGCTGCCAGGGAGCAGGCTGCACACGGCTGGATCACAGAAGGTCTGAAAGTAGTCCATGTTGTGATTTTAATTAATAGGGGAAACCGTTTCATAACTCCCCAATGGGGCTCTATAAAAGTATACGAATAACTGCTAACTAGACTTCAATTTATTACCTTCTCATCTACTCCAAAGAAAAAGAAGGAGAAACACATAAGCGGCAGGGGCCTAAGCATGTGACCATCATCTGCTTCTCAGGATGCACATTAGCAGGAGTAGATGGAACTTGGAACAAGCACCCTAAAATGGGATTTGGGTGTCTCCAACAGTGGCTTAGCCCACCATAACACATCATCTACTTACCCCGCCTTTTTTTCTTTTAAGAAAGGTTTACTTATTTATTTGGAGGCAGAGAGATGGAGATAGAACCCCCCACCCACCTGTTTGCTCCCTAATTGTCCGCAATGGCTGGGGCTGGGCTGAGGCAGAATCCAGGATCCTAGAGTCTAAGCTAGATCTTCTATGTGAATGGCAAGGACCCAAATGAGTTGTCATCTCTGCCTCTGACAGTACACATTAGCAGGATGTTGAAGTCAGTAGCCAGAGCTCAGGATTGAACCGTGATGTTCTAACGTAGGATGTGTGCATCCTATCCTACATTTTAACAGGTGAAGTGTCATTTCCAAAGGGACGCAATGGGTTAAGTAGAGCTTTGGATGCTTGCATGCAACATCACAGACTGATTCAAGCATCAGTTGCTCCACTTCTCATCTAGTTTCCTCTTCATGCTTCTGGGAAAGCAAGGGGATGAATGGTCCAAGAATACGGGCCCTTATAACCCATATAGGAGACCTGGATGGAGTTTTTTTTAATTAAAAATTTTATTTTTGATGATGTTTACATAGTTGATCAGGGTGGGGAGGATAGTGACCATTGTTCCCAAAGTTTCTTTATCTTCTTCCTGTATCTGGGGGAAAGGCATGATACAGGGGGAGAGGCCACAGCCAACCTCCCAACTGCCTCAGTACCTGGGAATGGGGAATGGCCACCTGATATCAACCTAGGGTCCCTGAAGTGGAACATGTTCTGAGGGTTCTGCTTAAGTGATTTTGATAGTTCTGAAATGCTGTTGATTTCACCCATCCAAGGATGGAGGAAATCCTTCCAAGGTCCATTGGCTGATATAGTCTACCTTAGAGTCTCCATTTGCCTAGATATTTGCTCTCCTTGTTTGGCTAGGGTGGTTGACTAATTTGTTCTGCTCTCTGTCCTCTGTTATGGTGCCAGATGTCCTCTGCAGGTCCCAATGGACTGCCATATCCTCCATGTGCATCTGTGCCTGCTGTCTATTGCTTTGTCTTTTCTGCGGAAGATGTCCAGTGCTGACACATGCTTTCCATGGTTAGACCACCAATCCTGGAGGTGAGACCTCAGGTTCATGCACACCCCTACCTGTGCCATCCCCCAGAACTTTTGAAAGATCACATACTAAGTCCCCACAAGCATGCCACTGGGAATCCAGTGGGTTTCCCAAGGTACCAGTGGTGCCTGGAGCTGCCTGACCCAAGCCCTGCTAGACCCCCCGACAGGGCTCATAAACTGGGTACCACCGTGCAGGTGGGCCAAGGACCCAAGCCAGGCAACTTGGACCCTGCTGGAATCCCCCACACCCAGGGCTCATGTGACTCAGCATATCTTAAAAAAAAAAAAAGTAGGGTAGGCAACTATGCTGGCACTCTGATATCAACACAGATTTGGCATGAACCAGGCCAGGATGCCCGCCAGCTATTAGCTGTTTTTCTTCCAGAAGTCTAACACTTGCCTAAGTACAATGCAACTTAGGCTGTTGCCTACAGTTGGGGTGGATGGAGTTCTAGACTGCTGGCTTTTGCCTCTTTTTAATCGGATTTCCATGTAGCACAAATATGCACATGTACTCTAGCTTTGGTATTTCTACTGCCCTAGGAAACACACTAACATTTCAACATGACTGTAATAATGTATGAGACCTACAGACGGGACTTTTCCTCCTCTATGTCAGAAACGTCATCTAGAAGATCTACCCTGCTCTGCAATCATCCTGGCTTCTCCCTGGACCACATCGACCCGTCAGGAGCCTTTACACATGGAGTCAGAACTTCTGGAGCCAGAGGCCCACATGTTAATTGGTTACATCTTTTCATCTCAACTTACTCATATATAAAATGGCAGAAACGATCGTACCTGTCTTTCAGGGCTTTGTTGGAAGGTGAGAGACAATACAGCAGTGAAGTATGACTCAAGGGGAGTGAGTGCTCAATAAAGATTAATGATGATTATTTACCAAGTTAATTCCTGAATGTCTCTGTCTTCTTGGCTCTAAAGTCAGAGCCTTAGGAAAGCACCTACTGATCATCCCTTAGGTCAGGTCCTACTGTATTATATGCTTTCCCAGTACCTCATGCTTCTTCCTTCATAGCATACCTTATCATTATATATGATTTATATATCTAATTAATCATTTAATAATATTATCAATGTCAGTATGCCTTTGAAGACAGGAACTTCTGTGAGGACAGGGGTAGGTATGTCACTAGGGTTTGCTTGATAACTGGTGTTTGAAAATTGTTTGTTAGTTGATTGTCATGATTTGAACTTGTCTCCTAAAGTTTGTGTGCTGGCAACTTAATTACTAGTGCAACCGTGTTGAAGGGTGGTGTGTTACAGAGGTGATGGAGTCATGAGAACTCTCTCCAATGTGGGGGCGGCGAGTGCACTGGCTGTAGATAGTTAACTGCTATGAAAGCAACTTTGGCTTTCTTTTGCTCCCTGCCATATGCTTTCTCACCCTCGGATACCTTCTGCCATGTTAGGGCAAATGGAAAGACAGTCAGCTGTCACAATGCCTCGCTGTTGGGCTTCCCAGCTTCCTGCACCATGAGCCAAGTGACTCCTATGTTTATGAATTACCCAGTCTGTATTCTGTGACAGCAGCACAGAATGATTAAACTTAAGATGTTCCACAAACATGATTCCAGAGCTCACAGGTGATTTGTGTGCTTTCCCATGTTTAGAGGTGAGTGATGCCTGGGCACCCACCTCAGCACCCCTCAATTCAGTTTCCTTACCTCATTGAGCCTGGTAGGAGATAGTGAAGAGGATCTGGACTGGGAGCTGGAAAGTAGGAAAATGGGCTTTGGTGATATCTCAATTTTAATTTAGTTTCTCAACCTTGGGAGAGATAGCTAGCCCCTGAGGGCTAATTTTATTTCCTAACAGTATGAAATAAAATATCTGGTTATTGGTTTAAACCAATGGCGATTTAACTATTTTTAAGTTCTGAGCATCGTTTGCACCTAGATTCCTCGTGGCAAGGCAAACCATCAAGCAGAGTGGAATTGGTGAGGCTGAAGTTACAGCTGTGGCCGGCAGCCCAGCTTTTGTTCCCTGCCACATTCAGCAGCACTTTAGGGCCTAGTATAGTGACTACTGGTCCAGATGTGCTTGATACCTAGTGCTCCAGCTCTATAGATGGCCAATTGCCTCTAAACCAGCAGCAGTTCCAAGGGACAGCCTTCCTTCTCCTTTCCTTAAAAATTGTATTTACTGTAAAGGCATAGAAAGAAGGAGAAAGATCTCCATCCACTTCTTCACTCCTCCAAATGCTTTCTCAACAGCCAAGGCAGGGCTAAGACAAAGCAAAAAAGCCTCAAATTCAATCCAAGTTCTCATGGGCATGGTAGGGACACAAACACTTGGCTATCACCTCTGTCTTCCAGTGAGTGAATTAGCAGGAACCTGGAATCAAAAGCAGAGCTAGGGCTTGAACCTAGAAACTGCAACATGGGGTGTGGACATCTTAGTGTGCCAAATAGCTGTTCTCTTTTAGCATCATGATCCAGTCAAACATTATACAGAAAACAGAGGAACTGGGCATAGGCACCCAAGCTTTTCAGCCTGCCAGGGCACCTTAAGTCAGTAGCTGTGGGTGATCCATGGGTGCTATAAAATGATGTAAATCAAGATGGTGCAGGGAGGTCTTGTAGTATAGTGAGTTAAGCCACTACCTGAGAAGCCCATATGCACACCAATTCAAGTCCAAGCTCCCTGCTAATGTGCCAGGCAAAACAGTGAAAGAGGGTTTAAGTTCTTGGTCCCCTGCATCCATATAGGAAATCAGAGCAGAGATCCAGGTTCCTGGCTTTAGTCTGACCCGCCCTAGCCATTGTAGCCATTTTGGGAGTGAACCAACAGGTGGAAGATCTCGTTGTCTCTGCTTTTGTCTTTATAATTCTTCATTTCAAGTAAATGAAATAAATCTAAAAGTTATGGAATGGAGACATTATAAAGAAAATAATTATTGAGTGGTAGTTGGCATGAGACACAGAAGAATAAAACAGAAAATGTCAGGATGCATTTTAGGGCCTTTGTGAAAGTTTTTTCTTCTAATTATACATGTGTTTGTGCTGAGGTATGTATGCCTACAAATGCACACAAATGTGTGCTTATGTATGTGTTGGGTCTTCATACAAAATGTTGTCTTTGGGGGGAGAACATGTATCCTTATTATAGGTCATAGTCAAGGAAGACCACAACTAAACCCACTATTCTAAGGGACAAAGGAGAGATGTGTCCAGCTCCCATCATGAATCCATGGATCCTGGCAGCACCTCTGAGAAGAAGTAAAGAACCCAGAAGGAGTGGTCTTTCACAAGTGTTTTCCTCAATGCTAGCACATAACTAAAATAAGAGGAGCTAAGTACTATTAGGCCTGGTAGTGAGGCCAATTATTTAATACATTCACTACATATGTTAATTATAGTGACCATTTACAATAAGTACTGTTGCTTTCATATTCATTTTGCAGATGAGAGAAAGCCAGTTGGTTCTGCAGGATGGTATCATGAGTCATGGATGGGGCCCCACCAATAGTTTAGGAGCGGGTTGGTAGGATCTTAGAGTCTTCACCTCTACATACTGCCCCAAGACCTGTCCCATTGGGTTTTCTCCCTGATGTGACTCTCACTGCTCATTTAACCCTTGTACGGCAAGTACGCAGCTCTCAGATGCTTATCCACACTAAGAAAGTTCGTGACTGTCCAGTCTCCAACACCAACCTTACACGTTTATGGATTATCTGCTATGAGCCTTGAATTGTTCTCACCCTTTTAGAACTTACTTACCTTCATGAACAAAGTATGTGCCTAAGGTATTTTAGCTTAGTCTGCTGAAAAGAAACCCTACTAGTCATAATCTGCCAAATCGGTTGCACAACCACTAAAGGTATGACTCAGTCTGAAACGGTTCTTTAGCCTAAGTCTGTTGTGAAGGAGTTACAGGAGCATACATTCACACTGGCATTATTTTCCTAAGTGAAGGCCAGCCCTACTTTGTAAGTCACAGTTTTGATTGACATTTTTTGAGTAGTAATTAGCATCTACAATGCTGCTTATGAGAATGTAATTTTTTAAAGTGCTCTCCCACACAACACCTCACATTAGCGCAGCATTTCCCAATAGTGCAGCATTTTGAGCATTATCAGCTGCACTTTGAGGCTAACAGTTTCTGAGAGTTCACATGACTGCACAGGTCGTCCAAATGAACTAGAAATAGAGTGCTTTTCTTTCTATAATTTGCATCCTGCTTTCTGATTGCAAAAGTAACATGTATCTGTTTTTTTGAGATTGGTTTTCCTCTCTTCCTTCTTCCCTCCCTCCTTCCCTCCCTTCCTTCCTTCTTTCCTTCCTTCCTTCCTTTGGCAGTTACTTGTTTTACTTGCAAAGTCAAAGTTACAAAGAGGGGGAAAGGGAGTGACAGAGATCTTCCACCTGCTGGTTTACGCCAAATGGCTGTAATGACCAGACCTGAGCTGATTTGGAGCCAGAAGACAAGAGACAAGTTCCAGGTCTCCCATGTGGGTGCAGCGTTTCAAGGAATTGAGCCATCCTCCACTGCTTTCTCAGCCCAAAGGCACGGAGCTGCATGGGAAATGGAGTGGCCAGGACACAAACCTGAGCCCATAATGGCTACCACCATTTGCAAGGGGAGGATTAGCCAATTGGGTCATCATGCCATGCCCATTTTTTTGAGATTTCTTAAAAATGCTATGAAGAAAATAAAAATGACTCTCTTTTAACACTTTCAACATTTCTGAGTAATTCCTACTGCTTAGGATATTGTGCTCAGGGTGTTTTTGCTTTTACAAACATATGACTTTAGCTTAAACAGGGGTGGGAGAAGCAACAGCCTTGTCATGGTTGTCTTTGTGGCCCAAGCCTGCTTTTCTTCCATGTGTGCAAGTGTTGTTGGCCAGATGGCCCCTCTACTTCCTTTTCTGTGTCACACTATATGTGTGTTTTAAACACATCTTATGTTTACTTACAACATGCCTTAGGAAGGGAACTGAGTGTATAATCATGAACCCAATTAATTCTTTGTAGTTTCCCCAAGCCTGTATTATATATTACAAAGCAATAAAAGTGTTAGCAACTGTTACAAAGAAAAAAAAAAGACCAAGCAATCTGTCTGAATACCCTGGCCTTGGTCACCCTCTTAAAACAATTACCTGTGTAGAGAAACGTGTTGGAGTGTCCTCCCACCACGACGTCCACGCCCTTCACCTTCTGAGCAATGAGTTTATCTGTTTCAAAGCCAGAGTGTCCCAGTGCAATAATTTTGTTCACACTTAGAGTTTTTAGCTTGTCTACTTCAGGTTGCAATGCAGTGATTTCATCTTCAAATACTAAATTTGCTCCTAAGGAACAAGATAGATAAAAGGAACAGGTTTTCTAATAGTTTTATTATATTTCTTACCATACATACTAACATGTCAGGTATGAACACTTCAATTCATTAATGCTCTTAAAAATGTATTAACACATTAAGTACAAAACTTGTAAAACTTCTGTTACATTCACTTAGTGATATTATAAGCTTAAGGTTTTGGATAACATTTTGCTCAAACTCAAACTATGAGGAGGCTTCAAATAAGGTTTACTTTTCTCTGATTTTGTATTTCATTTTCTGCAATACCCACATAGAAGGCACTGAAACATTTAACATGATGTACAGACAGACTTTGGGAACTTGGGATGATCAGTCTTCATACTATTAGCAACTAGTTCCTGTATGCTAATTTTAGCATTGACGTTGACAGCTTTCTCTTGTTCCTTTGGATATCACGTTGGCCTTAGAGCACAATGATTGAGCTTTGTGGGTACCTCATCAAAATGCTGCTGTTGGGCCTGATGCGGTAAACCAGTGGCTAAAGTCCTCACCTTACATGCACCGGGATCCCAAATGGGTGCCACTTCATATCCTGGCTGCTCCACTTCCCATCTAGTTCTCTGCTTGTAGCCTGGGAAAGTGGTAGAGGATGTCCCAAAGCATTGGGACCCTGCATCCATGTGAGAGACCTGAGAAGAAGCTCCTGGCTCCTGGCTTTTAATCAGCTCAGCTCTGGCCATTGTGGCCATTTGGGGTGTGAAATTATCGGACAGAGGATCTTCCTCTGCGTTTCCTCTCTGTGTAAATCTGACTTTCCAATTAATCAACCAATTAAATAATCAATCATCTTTATATATATATATGCATATATATATATGCATATATATATATATATTGCTACCCCTGGAAAGGTGTGCATTCCTTATTGGCTAGCTACTCCCCTACTTAGTGGCATAAACAATTGCCTCTGGCTAGCATGGGTCTGACTGCACAGGCCAGGTCCACTTCGTGCCTCAGGCCTGCACTGCTCATGTGGTGATAGGACACGTCCTTTCACTGTCTCTGTAGCCTAATGTCAGCAAGCTTTGAAGTCTGCAGCTTTGATTGCATGCTGCTGACTGTACTTACAGACACGCAGCCTCTAAGTCATACTCAGAAGTGTCAGTCTACCAGGGAATCCCCAAAGGAATTGCTCTAGACTTCTTTTATGCAAATTACAAACTAGTACAAAAGTGAAAATGCCAAAAAATGAATGGCATTAAGAACCTTCAGAATGCAGGAGTCTGTAAGCCACAGTTTCAAAACTATTAATCTCAGTTGCGTTGGTGGTATAGTGGTGAGCATAGCTGCCTTCCAAAACTATTAATCTCTTTGAAGGGCAACAAAACAATTAAAATGCATCCCTTGTGACCCTGTGACTCTGGGAAGTCTCTTTGTCCTTTAACAGGGTGATGGTACAAGTGCAAGTTACCAGCACAGGTAGGGTTGCCTTTCATGGACAGTCTGAAATTTAACAGCTTGCAGCTCTGTTGCACCAGTAGGGTTATCTGTCAGTCACTACCACGCAGCATTTTAGGACCAAGACCTACATCGGCTTCCCCAGCATTATCTGTCAGAACATCAAAGATAATGTGCTTCTTGCTGATCTCACCAAGAATGATGAGACTTCCTGTTACCCATGGAGAACTTGTCAGCCTCTCTGTGAATCTCTCTGCACACCTGCCCCCCAACCTGTGGTTCCCTACGCCTGTGGTTCTTCTCCACAGCAGCACTCACCACCGTACACCACATCAAACATTTATCCTCCTGCTAAAGGTGTAGGCTCCAGCAGACAAGGACACTGTGTTAGGCATCTCTGCTTCCTGGCAGTGTCCACCTCACAGACAATTCCTCATGGGGAGTGAATGAATGTTGAGGGAATGTTACTACGCTCTGGCAAGAAGGGACAGAAAACTGAGATGTCTCTGAGGACAAAGGAATATATTCTGACACATCAGAAACCTCACAGGCCTGGTTTCTGTATAAGACAGACAGCATGGGATATATTCAGAATGCTATGAATGGAGTTCTATTTCAGGGATTTCCATATCTGGATAAAAGAAAGTAAATGCACTACAGATACAAGTTATAAACTTGTTGATGCTCAGGCCACTACAGGTGGAAGAACTGGGTTTCATTAGGGATCAGAGATCTGTAGAAGAACCCACTCAATTTTTTTCTTCCAAATTTGAATGCATTGAAATAAACTAAGATATTGTTTATGCCAACAAGAATTTCTTAAGTAGAAAGAGGTAACATATTTAAGACATAACTTACAATAACATAGAATTCATCTTATTAGTTTTATCAATGTCATCCTAAGTACATAACTCTCCCAATTGTTTCTATCTTCAGCTGTAATGTATAAAAAGAACAATGAACTGATTTAATGTTTCTATTTCAATCAGCAAGTGTCATAAATGCAGACAATACCTGGATTGGAGAGGAAAGGAGTTTCTTTGGATGTGTAGCCAACAATTCCCACAGTTTCACCATTAACAGAAAGAATTTTATATGGCAGATAAAGTCCTGATATTTCAGATGCTAGAGGCCCCTTGGCTTTAATGTTAGCACTCAGAATTGGAAATTTAGCCTTTTTGAGGAGTGGGTCGATCAGTCCTTTTACACCATTATCGAATTCATGGTTTCCAAGTGCCTAGGTAAGAGGGAAAAGAAGAAGAATTAAGTACTATGGAACTTTCAGTAAAAATTTTAAAACAATTTTTCATTAATAACTTCCCAAATGGGCTTGGCTCCTAATTGATGGATTCCACAGCCCCATGTCCCTTGTGCATTGAGAGCAGTCCTGGAGGCCTTCAGATCATCAGGATGCTGAGCGTTGATACTGCAGCTTCCACTGCACCCAGCAGAGGGGCCATAGGGTGTCACCTGCAGAGCTGGACAGTGTTCACTCTCCTGCCACCCTCAGAACTGGGGAAGGCTGTAGATCCACACTGAACAGCCTCTGCCTTGTCCTTTCATGTTTTTTTTTTTTTTTGCTGTTCCTTCATAAATCCACATTTTAGACATAATCATTCGAACTGCCACCTGTCAGGAAGAAGCGTGGATGTGCACAGGCAAGCTAGACAGCACTCCTGACTAAGACCACAGACGTCTCCTTCCTTGATGCTCCCACTCTAGGGTTGACCCAAGAACTTCATGATTCTCTGATTCTTCTGGGAAAAGGAAGATTCCAAGGACAAGCCCATCTGACGCGGTGGTGCTGGGTTCTTCTTTCAGCAGCTCTGGGCCACCTTCCTTTCTCCTTCCAGCCGTTTCAGATACAGAGAATTCCAGGGTCAATCTGTCACCTAGCCTTCAGTGGACCTACAGCAGGTGCAGGGGCTTTCTTACGAGCAGGGACCAGTGTGGCCACTGGGGTCATATACATCTGAACTATACAATGGCATGTTGGTGGTTATTTGTTTCTGTCTCCTGACCAGAATAAATGCTCTTCCCCACCCCTTGCTAGCATCACTGGAGACCCCACACCCGATGCGTGCACATTCACCAAATGCCTTGGCTTAAACACCCCTGGCACGTGTGTTCACACAGAGACAGCAACCTCCTGGGTTCGCACTCCCATACACCTGTCCATGAAGAGATACAGAATTTCTGAATTTGTCTTTACCTACAGTCAGATGAACTACTCATTTTTACCTCTGCTTTTTCTATAATTAACTTCCTTCTTAAAAAAATTGATCTGGCTGAAAGTTCTCCCACTCTTAGATAACTATTTTTTTTCTACATTTAGTCTTAGAATAGCACTGTTTCTTCCTCTAGTGAAGTAAGTCTCACAGTTATAATGACTGTCTTGCTTAACTGGTTCTTTATCTCATCAACCACCTACTATTTTAAGAGTGGTAGACTCTTCAGCAATAACGGAAACCACAGTTTTCATTTCTTTTTTACCCTTAATGTTTTTCCTGCCCTCCCTACTCTGACCTTGACTGTAATCTCCCTGAGACTACTGGCTTGACTGTCTTTATTCCCTACCCCCACAGGGAGAGGAGCCCCTCGTCTGTAGTGCCCAACGGTGTGGGCAGGTTGACTAAATTATCTTCCTTACACTCCCATCCAAATTTTATCTTTGTCCCTGACTTTCCTCCTGATCTCTGGAACTGTATGTTAACTACCACATGACATTTTCCCTACAATGTCTCAAAAGCACTCCCACTAGGCATGTGCAAAGCCTTTCCTGCAGGATTTTCTGTCTTGGCCCAAGGTGCCAGCATTCATACAATCAGTAAGGCTGGAGCACCTGGAGCAGCCGAATTCCTTTCACATATTCCTTTCCCTCACACACACCAGCAAGCTCCTCTTTTACATAAACACTCTTTAGTCTGCCCACCCCATTGCTCCTAACTTAGGGTGTTCCTCACAATGTTTTGCTGTTCTACAGTAGTATTCCTAATGGTTTCAACCATCACCACTCACTCGTCAGACCATTCTTTCTACTGCTGCAAGGATCATCTTTGTCAATGCCAATGCAAACTAGTCATGCTCCACCAGAAGGCTCTGTGAGGCACTGCCTTTTCTGACACAGCTCAACAACCTGAGCAGGGCCCATAGGGCTCTTGGCAATTGGGTGTCATTTTGCTACAGCTTCATTTCTGACAATCACACTTTAATGTGCTAGGCAAGAGTGAAGGGCTGGTTCCATCCCTTATGTGCAGTGAGCTGGGGTACCTTTCTGAACCTTTCTGTTTTCTCTGGAAGGCCAGTAAGCAAACAAGACAAATATGGCAATGAGGCAGAACCAGCATTTACTAACACTTACCACAGGCTAGCCTGGTAAAGTTTGATTGCTTATTGAAAATCTGATCTTGTGCTGTGAGACTGTGCTGTAAGCATCTTGCTGTGTTTATTTTACAGAAGAAAGAAACTGGGCTCTAGAGAAGTTAAGTGAATTGCTGAAAGTCACACAATTAGTAGGTGGTGGAACTGGGACTAGATTCACTTCTATTTGACATAAAAGTTGTGAACCTCAGAGCTTTTCATAAGGCCTAGCTCAACAACAACAACAAAATCTAATTCCTTGTAGTTTCCTAAGTTCCCATTTATTTTTGTGCCTTGGTGTATGATGGAAACATGATGACAAACTAGTTAACTAGACTAGTCCAGGTCCTCTAGGTCCTCCAAGCTACACCTGATGACTGTAGCTCCTGAAGTGTGCGGATTCTTCCCAATCTCCCTTTGGAGTCAGATGTCCTTGCTCTCTTTGGTGGCTGTATCTGGGTAGCTGTAGTGGAGCCCCCACCAACCCAGCAAGTACTGAGCACTTGCAGACAATCAGCAGGTGTAGGGGTTGACTACTGAGTGAATAGAAGAAGGACAAAAGAATTGTTAACAACCTTTCACACAAAAATCAGTGCAGAAAATTTGTTTGTAAATGCCAGCTTACTTTAAAAACTCCTAATATTTTCTACCTTGAATTTCTCCAGTTTTTATTTTATTGCACTAATGAGCACTTAAGGAAGTGTAAGTTATTTAGGAGGACCATGTGTGTAAAACAGGTTTTTGCATTTTTAAAATTATTTCTATTAAAAACATGAAAATATTTTAGAAAAACATTGTTCAAGAGAAAAACACAGAGCCATAAAAATTAATAGATGAATTCATCCCTTGGGCTTAGTGGGAGATGGATTCCTGGAGTCCTATAGCTAGCAAAACCCTGAGATACTCAAGACTTTTTCTATTAAAAGGTTCAGTATTTGTGTCTTCTTATATGCTTTATTTACTTACTTGTTTATTTTGCAGAGATACAAAGGAAGAGGGAAAGGTAAGAGAAACAGAGAGAGTAAGCACTCTCACCACTAGCTCACTCCCCAAAGGCTGCAACAGGTGCAGCCTAAGCTACGATCAGGAATTTAGTCTTGCCTTCGACTCATCACTGCTGCCTCCCAGGGCCTGTGTTGGCAGAAAGCCGGAGCCAGGAGCTGGTGCCAGGAGTCTGTAAATATTTAAATATATCTGATTTGCTGCTGTTCAAGTCCATAGGTGAAGAAGCTATGGACACTAAATGCCTACTGTATTCATATCCCAACATTTTTGGTCTCTGAAAGTTTGTTCAAATTTTCTCATGTAGTACTTAAAATTCTTTGGTTACTTGCCACTTTTTGTTTAGCCATCATCACTTAGGCAAGTGATTTTAAGACCTTAACTCAAATTCTTACGTTCATATAGTCTCTGTATGTGTCTCTGAGTGTATCTCATTCTTTTATTTTTCAAATATTTCCTTTCTTTTTGCTTTTAAAGATTCATTTATTTGTTTTTATGGGAAATGCAGATTTACAGAGAGAAGGAAAGGCAAAGAGAAAGATCTTTCATCCACTAGTTCACTCCCCAAGTGGCCAGAACGGCCAGAGCTGAGGCGATCTGAAGCCAGGAGCTTCTTCTGAATCTGCCACGCAGGTACAGGGTCCCAAGGCTTTGGGCATTCCTTTACTGCTTTCCCAGGCAACATGTAGGGAGCTGGAAGGGAAGTGAAACAGCTGGACACTGTGTTCAGCTGCTGTGGATAGTTTGCAATCACCTTTAGCTTCAGGGAAACCCTCTGTTGACAGAAAATGAGGCCCAGAAAGTCACATGAACCAGTAGAGGAAGAAAGAGGATATTTTAAGACTTGGGATTCCAGCTTTCTTGATTTGATTATTAAACATATCCTTCAATTAGGAGTGAAAGAAAGCTTTTGTCCAAACTTTGGCCTGTGGTTCGTACAACTTCTGTTACATGCCAAAATCAACTTTTCCTTTGAGGATAAGCAGTGCACATAGAAAAAAATTTCAGGGAATTGTAACATGATCCACCTATTTATTTCCAAAGCATTTTAAGCTAAAAAGAATTTAAACTAACGTTTAATTATCACGTCTTGGGAACCTAACTGAAAGATACCTAGTTCTCGCAAGTTGAAGTACAAACATACAATGTCATAATGTGACTTTCTTCTAGCTCCTTCCCTACCGTGGCAGATGCCAACCCACTGAGTTAGTCTTTCCCACTAAGTTTGGAATGAACTTCACTTTGGATATCCCATCTTTGCAAGAAGTTATTGTCAGTAGAGACCCGGGCTGATATGGTAGTGTAGCAAACTAATCTCCCTGCTAGTGCCAGCATCCTATATAGGCCCTGCTTTATGTCCTGGCCCCTCTGCTTATGGCCTGAGAAAGCAGTAGAGGGTGGGTCAACTCTTTGGGTCTCTGTACCCATGTGGGAGATTGGAAAAAGCCTCCTGGCATGGATCAGTTCATCTCTGGTTGTTACTGCCATTTGTGAGCAAGTGGATGGAAGACCTCTCTGTTTTTCCTTCTCTGTCCATAAAATCTGCTTTTCAAATAAAAATTAATATATCCGCAAAAGGGGAAAAATTAGAGATTTTTTTTCCACCCTTGTACAAAGATAAATGATTACTAGTATGGAACACACTGGAGTTTGACAATAGCAAAGTATAACTTAGTGGGTAACAAACTAGAGGCAATATTTCTAAATAAAAAGGAAAGAAAAACTCTTCTTTTCACACTGATTTGATCCACAGTTACTTTGGGCACAAACTGCAAGTGAAGCCAACATTCAGTCTGAAGTGCTCCTGCCTGCCCGCCTGCCCCATCCTTCAAGGAGGTGTGCCAGCTTCTGTTTCTTTCCTGAAGCTCTTTCTAG